CTCTTGTTAGGAAGAACAGCTGTATTTGGTCATATGTCATATTACTAGGAAAAATTATATCATTTTTACGTGTCCATTTTGGTTAAAAACTAAAAGCTGTATTAGAAATCTTTGCATTGACCTAGATCACTTAAATACACAAAATTGATCCCGTTATGCATTCTGATTTTTAAATTCCTACCATGGTGCTGTAGCGGTCAGTTAAGGAGGTATCAGGTAAGAGTAGTCCTGGGCTATAAGTTAACCTAGTAGACTCTGGGTTCACACTACAGTGTCAGCAGAATACTGGTATTAGAAGAATATGATTTGTGAAATGTTGTAAAAGGTTTTATCTTTTGACCAATTTTAATGGTATAAAATAAGCAAATGCCATGCAAGTTTCAAGGGGGCAATGTTCATAAGTAAAAGTAGTGTTTGGATTCAGGAATAAACCAAATAGAATGAAAAATTCTCAACAGGAAAATAGACACTCTAAGATAAATAGGCCTGTCTGTTAAAAAGAACTTAATGCACAATAACATTATTCTCAAAAATTCCTCTAGGCTTCAGAAAGAAATATAGATTAAATATTCCTTCTTCCCTCCCCCCTCCCTCCCTTCCTTCCAAAAAGAAATATAGATTAAATCTTCCTCCCTCCCTCCCTCTCACCTTTCCTTTCTTCTCTCCCTCCCTCCCTCCCTTCCTCCCGTCCTTCCTTCCTTCCTCCTTTCTTCCCTCCCTCCCTCCCTGCCTCTTATACCCTGGCTGGAGTGCAGTGCCATGATCACAGCTCACTGTAGCCTCAACCTCCTAGGCTCAGGTGATCCTCCTACGTCGGCCTCCTGGGTAGCTGGGACTACATCTGGGCTAATTTTTGTATTTTTAGTAGAGAAGGGTTTCACCACAGTGCCCAGGCTAGTCATGAACTCCTGGGCTCAAGCAACTTGCCTGCCTCGGCCTTCCAAAATGTTGGGATTACAGGTATGAGTCACTGCGCCTGGCCTTAAATATAGGTTCTAACATCATTTAGATGATCTCCTATAAAATTATAAAAAATGTGGTTGCATTTTATAATCCTATGTCAAGTTTCTAAACGGCGAAGTTTTAGCATGAGTTTAAAAAAAAGACCTAGAAAAGACTGGTCTGGGAACAGTAAAAATAGTAACAATAATGGTAACAGAGCCTACTACAAAATGCTTCCTTTATAAACCACATCCATGAATTATCTTACTGAATCTCATAATTATCCTTTGGAGTTTAGATATTATTATTTCCATTTTACAAAAGGAAAAATAAAAACTCAGAAAGTAAATTAATCTCTCTTGGGTCATACAAGTAATAAATGAGGGAAATTAAAAATTAAGCAATCATGGCCAAACAATGAGGTTTTAAACTAAGACGTACATTTACTGTTTTTACATGCTGTAAAGGTGCATGAAACCCCATAAATATCTGAGAAGCTTTCTAAAAAGAAATGGTTGTATATAAACACCTTTGCCTTTCATATGAGCAAAGTGGGGGAAAAATGTAACTTTTCTATCATATAGTGTAGTTGGAAAGAGACACTACTTACTGGTCCTGCCATTTTTAAAATAGGAGTTATGCTACTTAAAAAATTTAAAAACTATTGAACTAGGTAATTATCTCTAAGGTCTCTTTCTGCTCTAAAACCTGGAAATAGAATTGTTTATCTAATCATCAGAAAGAATTAATTCCACCACCTTATGATTGAATTAAAGTAACTTCCAGCAAATCCTTGATAGAATATTAATGCAGATAAGTTTTAAAGATGGTCTTAGATCCAAGAAAAGAAAATTAAAGATCTCTTGCCTCCTTTTAAATGACATTTATATTGGAAAGACATCTTCTATGACTGTGTCAGAATGTGGACTGGGACTGATTCATGGGTCATGAAATCAACTTAATAATTTACAAATAGCATTAAAAAAAAAAAACTGAAAGCAAAAGAATAAGAAAATGCCTGATAATTATATTGTAAATAGTAAGGGTTAAGAATTACTTCCTAAAATCTATCTGCTTACATAACCGTGCACTCAGTCATGATGTAAAATGTATTCTTTAGCATAAGCATCAAAATAGATTGAAAGACACTATGCGAGCGTGCCAAAGTATATTTTGCATGTAATATATCTCACGTGAAAAGAGCAATTTAATTAAATTTTGATTACTAGCATTTCTAGGATATATACCTAAAATATTTTGCTTTTTATAATTACAGTCAAATTACTGACATGCTGAAGAGCCAACTCTACCAGACACACAAAGAAATTCTAGGAATGCAGCTTGATCAACAGTGTTCCAAAGAAACATAAACATAAAACTATTTGTGAAGAAACAAATACAATGTTTAAAGAAAGTATCTGAAGGAAACCAGGACTCCTTGGAGAAATGGTGATTCCAAGTCTTGGCAGAAAAATACAAGGTGAAAGAGGAACGTCTTACTGTGTCAGAAAGCAAAAAAGCTATTAAAGATTAGGTTGTGTCAAAAGGATGCAGAAGTCAGCTTAACAGTTTCTGACTGATCAAAGATGAACAACTTGGGCATCAAAGAGAATAGCAGATTGAAACACAAATATTATACAAATTCAAGGCTGGGCATGGTGGCTCACACCTGTAATCCCAGCACTTTGGGAAGCTGAGGCAAGCAGATTGCTTGAGCCCATGAGGTTGAGATCAGCCTGGGCAACAGGGTGAAACCCTATCTCTACAAGAAAAATACAAAAATTAGCCACCATGCATGGATGGTGGCATGTGCCTGTAGTCCCAGCTGCTCAGGAGGCTAAGGCTGCAGTGAGATGAGAGTGCCACTGCACTCCAGTCAGAATGACAGAGCCAGACCTGTCTTTAAAAAAAAAAAAATTCAAGAGTTCAAATAAAGTGCTGATCACCTCCATGATTACTAGGGTTTCAACTTAATATTCTAAAATCTAGTAAATAGAAGAATCAAGTTATTTTTTTCTTCCTTTTCTGCCACCAATTTTATTGTAGTTGTATCCAGAGAATTCACAGAACACATTCTTTGCAAGAATTCCAGTTTAGAAGAAAAATGCAGGACAGATCTAAAGTCACCAAATTATAATCCATAATGATATAATAAATGATTAGCCTTGACTGTTAGAAACCATTAGATAAAAGACTGAGAAGGAACTTTATACTGGATGGGTTAGGCTGGCAACACCTGAGCCCATTGATCTATTTTAACATTACTGAAAGTGGGACAAAGCCTCCTACTAGAAGCCAGTCGGAAGTATATCTAAAAACATGAATATTATTCCCCTAAAAGAGAGTTGAATCTAATCAGTCCTCTAGATCTAACTATGAGGTTACAAAAAAATACAAGGGCCAGAAAAAGATGTAAAAAAAGACCACAAAGATGTAATCAGCTAAATTCAAAATATGGAAAATTCTACAAGACCTAGTCTCTTCAATAAATAATGACAAGAAAAAAAGAGGACAGGAAATTGTAGTAGATTAAAAGAAACTTAAAAGACTTACTTCAATGTTATATTTTAGACCGTCTTTGGATTTCGATTTGAACAAATCAAGAGGATATTTTCAGAATTGGGCAATATGAATATAGACTGGATATTAAGGACTTTTTTTTTTATTTAGTTAAGTATAATAATGATAATGTGGTTTTGTTCAAGAGACAAAATATTTTCTATAAGAATAAAGCATGACATACACACAGAAATTTAATTAGTAGATTAATATGTAAAGAAATACTTTGACATACACATAGTTCCTTTCCAATAACATTTCTTTTTTTTTTTTTTTTTTTTGTTGCAAGCAGAGCATCCCTACTCTGAAAATCTGAAATGCTCCAAAATCTGAAATTTTTGAATGGCTATATGACACTACAAGTGGAAAATTCTACACCTGACTTCATGTGATGGTTGAAGTCAAAACTCTGTTTTATCCACATTATTTAAAATATCATAGAAAATTATCTTCGGACTATATGTATAAGGTATATATATAAAATTAATTTAGAGGCCGGGCGCGGTGGCTCAAGCCTGTAATCCCAGCACTTTGGGAGGCCGAGGCGGGTGGATCACGAGGTCAAGAGATCGAGACCATCCTGGTCAACATAGTGAAACCCCGCCTCTACTAAAAAATACAAAAAATTAGCTGGGCATGGTGGTACGTGCCTGTAATCCCAGCTACTCAGGAGGCTGAGGCAGGAGAATTGCCTGAACCCAGGAGGCGGAGGTTGCGGTGAGCCCT